CAAAGTTAGTTTTTCTGTTCTAAATGTATAGCCGAAAGCGCTCGAATAAAAACAACATTCGGCCAATTTTTATATAATTTATCAGCTGAAAAGAAAAAAATATTAGATCGTAGGAAAAATTGTATAAAAACTAAATAAAAGCATCTTGTCTGTCTTATTCAATGAAATGTGCATGAAAAAAGGATTGCTGCTTAAATACACACACACACACATATATATATATGGTATAAAATAGCAATTGGAAAAAAAATCTTAGATTTTGCCGACGTTTTCAAGGCAAAAATGAAATCTAAATGTTTTTGCTGTTATAGTTACATTAAAAAATCCAAATTTAAAAAGATAGACGCTTCTGTCTAAGCCTTTTTTTCTGGTTAATGTAAATTAACTTTATAGTAAGGGATTTTTTAAATTTTTTTTCCATGTCGACAATATAGTTAAATTCCCAGATCTATTCTGTGGACGACAGATTGTTTTTCCAATTGTCATTTTATACCAATCTGTCTTGTCCATAGAATTGATCTGGGAATTTAACTATATACATATACATACACACACACAAACACACACACACACACACACACATATATATATATATATATATATATATATATATATATATATATATATATATATATATATATGTGTGTGTGTGTGTGTGTGTGTGTGTGTGATATAACGATATATAATTTTGACATAGTGAATGCTACTTTAATTAAAAAAGAAAATAATTTACTAAGACGAAAAATGTCTGGAAAGTGCGTTGATGGCAAGCTCAGATACAATAAATCTGCGTCCAGGCTCTTATAATATATTACCATTCTTGGTAGATTTTAGAGAAAAAAGAATACAGATGATTTCGACTAGATTGAAAAAAGAAATTCTTTCAAAAATATTCTTTCAAAAGATTTTGAAACTACCTGCGTCTCTCGTTTCATGTGTTGACCTTGCAAAAATCTCGTGTAGGAAATTTATCGTTACCGCGATAGTCAGTCTTCTACATTTTAATATTTCTGGCCATTTAGTGTGACTATCGACTACCACTAGATAATATGCTCCGTTTAATGGTCCTGTGAAGTCTATATGTATTCTGAACCATGGCATATTGGTTTTCGGCCAAGGTTGAATTTTGATAGGCGGTGACTTCGCTTCCACGGCACAACCTCTGCATGATTTCACTAAATTTTCGATATCCTGATCCATTTTTGGCTAATAAATATAACACTTCAAGGATTTTATTCTAGAAATTTCTGGATGTCCTATGTGAAATTCCTTTAGCATACGTTTTTGTAACGATGCTGGTATCACAATTCTTTCTGCGTACATAAGTACATTATTACATAATAAAAATGCATTATTTCCAGTAATATTTTTTTAAAGCTTAATTGCTTCTTCATTTTCAATATAAAGTCGTTTTTTCCGACTTAATTCTTATTTCCCCCAATGTTATGAGCAGTTCTCTTACAATATTGTATAATACATTATTAATTTCATTTTCGGTCATTATCACAGCAATTACTGTGTCTTCAAAGCAGTTCGCAGAATTTTGGTATTAGTCTAGACAATCTGTCTGCAGACAATTTTTTGGGTGGTAGAAACTCTATCTTATAATTATAGTTCAATAGGATACTTCCCCTGCGCTGCAGTCTATTTGCTGTATGTGTGGGAACACCCTTTTTTTGATCCATATATGGACAATAATGGACGATGGTCTGTCTGTTGTATGAATTCTCTACCATGTATGAATTTATGAAACTTTTTCATAGCAAATATGATGGCCAATGCTTCCTTTTCTAGCTGGCTGTAGCTTTTTCAGCTGCAATTAATGTTGAAGCGTGAGTTATTGGTTTAGCTGTTCCGTCCTCATATTTATGTAGTATCACTGCTTCAATACCCGAATCACTTGCATCTGATCACGGATCCATCTGTCCAACCAAAGGGCCCTGGAAGCGCGACCCCCTTGTAGGCAGCTAAACGCAAGCCAGAAGAAGTTGCGGTTAATCTTGGCCCCTGTCACCTTCTCGTACCGTTCAAGCGCCTTGTACACTACCTTGATGTTGCGATGACACGACACAAAATGGTTACGTCATCGGCGTACGCAGATACCATAGCTCGAGCTCTACCAGGGAAAATAGCGATTCCGTGTAGGGCCGAACTGCACGCAGTGTCCTTTAGCTGATGAAGGAGGGTCTCCAGTGCCAAAGCGTGAAGTAAGAGCAATAGCGGCAACCCTGTCGGACCGACAGAGTTAGTGCAAAAGCGATCGGCTGCTTCCTGTTCACCTGTGCCACAGCATGGGTGGATGGTGGGGGGAATACAGGAGGCTAATCCACTTGCAAGAGTCGGGTTCGAATCCGGCGGCTTGCAGGACAGCAGCCAGGTACTGATGGTCAACCCTTTCAAATGTCTTGGACTGATCCAAATTGATCAGCGCGGCTCGCTTGTCGTCTTTTACACCCTCTACTATTGTGCGGATCAGATGCAGGTTGCTTTGAATTGTTAGTCTCTTTACAGCACAAGTCTGCTCATGGTCCGAACAAGCTCGCGACAGCTGACTACAACCTCTCTGTCAGGATCTTTGCCAAAATTTTTATGTTTAGCAGAGTTATGGGCCTGCAATCATCTAAATTCCGCCCAACACACTTGCCCTTTTTCAACAGCGTGATCACACCCATGAAAATCCGGTCAGAGATGGACCTCTGCCGGAACCAGTTGTTAAACACCACTGTTAAAATCGGGACAAAGATGTGCGACAGGCTCAAGTACATTTCGTAGAGCAGACCATCAAGTTCCGGAGACTTGACTCTGCCGACCTTCTTCAATGTCAAATAATTTTCGCCCTCTGTGATCTCACCCTCACAGCTAGCTGCTTCAGTCGGTGAAAGCCGAGGAAAGTCAGCGAAATAGTTGCGAAACTCGTCGCCACTGAAATCAAACTCCTTGGTAAAACGGCTCTCGAAATGCCACCTAAACGCCTCGCACATGTCCTTGGTCGACCTCAGAGAACGCCCCTCGCAAATGTATCGATCGGGACCTCGACGAATCTTTTCCTTACGCAACTCTGCGCCTATGGTCACGGCTTCATTAGACATTTTGTTTAACCTATGTCTAACTACCTGACCCTGGTAGCGCTTACTAGCCCCACGGTTCAAGGCCTGCCTAACTACGGATCTCTAGGGCCCTCCACCAGCCACCGCCTGGAACAGACTATCCTCTAGAGTCGTTGGATATATTCAGTGGTGAAGGACCTAATCCTATCCTTAAGCCTCTCCCACCACCTACTCCCAATAACCGCCCCAACTAATTCCCGCTGCACTAATCTAATCCACTGTTGCTGAAAGTCCCACCTGTCCAGTAAGGACAGATTGAACTTCCAGTGTCCAGCCATTCTAGACCTAGGACCTAACACCATCCGGGCACAGACGAGTCTATGTGTCCACACCTTAAAATATTTTCCCGTGTCCCACATACAGGAAATAACCTATGGTGCGTTGGGAAAATTGTTAGCGTCCCCAGCGATTTTCCATCGACAGAGGCTGACTTAAACAGGGGACCCAAGAGGGACATTTTGTGAATAGAGACGTCCTGTCTACTTTACAAAAGTTTTTCTTTTTCTCAACTTTTTATCTGTCCAAATGTGGCGGGTTGGATGTGAACGGGTGGGGAGGAGTGGAATTGGATGAGTGGGGAGGTGTGGAAGTAGATGAGTAAGGGGTTGTGGGAGTGGACAAATGAGGGTTTGGGGGAAGTTGTGGGTGGAAAGAGGGCCTGAGAGAGTGAAGTGGGTAGGCATCTTGATACTGGGGTAGTGTCATTCATCTTTAGCGGCGACGCAGGAACGGATTGGGACCTGGCTAGGTCCATGGAGCTTCCCCGCCCTACTTCATCCGACGCCCTTCCATTTTCGTTGGTTTTTCTTCCCTGCTTCTCTTTAAGGATGAAGACCGGGGTGGAGGTAAATCCTCAACCTCTGCGGCCCGTTGTTGTTGTTGTTGTTGTTGTTGTTTTGGATTATTTTCTTTTGTTATCTTTTCGTGGATAGCAAGAAAACTGAGAGGATAGACTAGAAATAACGACCCTTTAGAAGTCGCGCGATTTTCTTTTCCTCTATGGTCACGTGATCCACTTAGTCCAATAATGGGATCGCTTGTGTTTGCTCACTGACGATCTATGTTCAAACTCAAGTATCGGTAGCGACACTTAATTGCTATATAACATATATATATATATATATATATATATATATATATATATATATATATATATATATATAATCAAGTGTAGGGTAGATTAATTCCAATGTCCAAACATTATATTTGAAAAAAGTACTAAATACAGAGGAGTAGAGCTTAATAATATTTATTAACAGTTATGAACAAACCGCTACATAAATGCAATCATGTTTCAACACTATAAGAGAAAGAACCTGTGTACCATGTAGTTAAGGTGACTGCACCACAGAGACAGATGCTAAATAGTATCTGTTGGGTTATCCTGCACAAAGGTATTTGCCAATCAGGGTAGGCTTAAAGTAACTCATGAAACCATACGGGATTGTCTTAGGAAAGAACATTTCTGGAAACTATGGTTATACGCTTATGTCATTTACATCATATCATTAAATATTATTTCATTACATACCTTTTAAGGTGAACTTATTCTAGAGAGTGCGCCGTATAAATACTTATGTGAAAATATTGGTCCCGATGTACTTGTCTATGTTCATCGAAATGACTACCCACAATCCAAACCGATCTCTCTAAAACAAAAAGTAAATTTCATTACTGATTAGGTTAATTGATTCGTTTGTCTGCGGATTATCAATCTAGTTTAGGTTATTTTAAGCCAGAAAGTTTACTAATTAACCCATAGATGGGGGATAGAAGAGGTGGATTCATACCTTTCCCAAGGGTAATTTGCCCTAAGCGAATATAACGAACACAACTGAAATTGAATCTCGACTCTCCAATTAACAACGCTATCATACCGCCCGCACATCAAAGCTTACTGCACCTCGTATTCCTAAGCGATTACCCATCTAAGTATTGACTAGGCGTGATGTTGTTTAACTTAGGTGATCGTAAGGGAACCGTTATTTCGATGTGATATGGCCGGAAGCATGCATTACTGTAGTAAAGCCGTGGAATTAAAATGCTGTTTGTATATTATTAAAACATCATTGATTCTGTAAAAGTATCTTTGTGTATCTTTATTCGTTTTCTGTTTCATTATCCTTTCTGATAGGATATTATATTTCCTAAGAGGATAACCATTGCACAGCGCTGGAAAAAATGGTCGGCTTATTCTGTGGCTGATTCAAGCTGCCATCCTTTATCATTACAAGAATCAGATCAGACCCCAAATCGAGTATTGATATGGAGTAGAATTGTTCAATTTTCCCTTTCCAGCCTTGACCGAGTTTAAAAACGTTTACTTGTTATTTTTGCCGTGGCGAGGGTGGCATTTTCTTAACTCTACAATCTCTTCCCCATAGAGCCAACTTTGCAAGCCTAGTGTTATTCCCATGTTAATTACACGGAGTCAAATCACCCTCACTTCCTCCGTATTCAAAATGTAAAGAGAGGGTTTCATTATGACATCTTTTTCCCAAGAATTGTAACTTTGTGGAAGACTCCACTGAACACAATTCATCAGGGTCAGTCACTATCTATGCTCCTTATCCTTATGATCTTCACGTCATCCCACCTCCTCGTTCCCCCCAATCATTCATTCACCAATACCAATCTAATAGTAACCCTCTACTTTGAGTGGCACTCGAGCCTTGTACTGAGAGAATTTTAGTATAAAAACGTTCAAAATTTAGTTTATGGGTGGGGGGAGTAAAAAAATTAAGAGGTGTCGTTGTTTAGTTACATCACACCTTAGATATGAAATCATAAAGCGTTTGATTTCGACAGATTTTAGCGAAAGGTGGGTGACTGAGGCGAGCCTGGTTCGTGTGGACGGGACTAGCCTTGATTTTCTCTTAAGTCCCCTTGATGCAATGATGCGGTTTCCTGTGAAACCTCCCCTGGTTAAGTTAGACAGTATTATGTTCTCCTAGTTAATATGAATAAGTGTTGTTCCCGGACCGTTCAAGGCATTCTCTGTTGTTTTGATCCATGTTGAGATTCCTAATCTCCCCAGTTTTTGTCTCCTGTTTTTATCTCGGCTGGGTCAGCCTTAGATTTTTCCTATTGCGTCATTTATTTTTAACCTCCCCATTTCATTAGTGAGTGTGCTTTTTTTATTCTGTTGGTTGGCAGAATACAGTGGCCTCTTTTATTATTTTGAGGGTGTAGATAGTTCCTACTAAAATTTGTTTTGATTTTATATTTATGTTTACATTTTAGTTTGTTTCCTGGGTTTATCCCTTCCCCATCATTTCATGAATCCTGAAATTTTTATATATTTTTGTAAAAAAAAAAAAAAAATGTTAAAAAATAACGACATTTTGGACTTTCTTAATCAGATTTTTATATCATGGGGTGTTTGTGTACCCTTCCCTCACCCCGTGAATATGCGGTATTATGGTGTATGCAGAAAAATTACGAATGAGTAGTGAGTTCGATCCTCACTGGGTGCCCCTTACATTCGGCCTTGTGTCACATCCAAGCTACGCTTGGAAAATCACTATGCAGGATTGAGAGGTGGTGGAGAAGTTCTTTTGGTGAATGAGCAAATTGAAATGATTGAATGGGTCACAAATCTGATTAACTAGGACTAGGATAGTTAATGAAAACCAGCCCTTTCCCAATTTCACCCCTGGCCTTGCGCCAAACTTCTGTATCATACAGAATAAATAATAAGAACTATGTTTTTTCTTTTTAGTTAATTTTTAATTGAGATTCTCCACATATAATTATGGTATGATCCATCTTCTCTAGTAAAAGATCTGTCCTAAATTCAAAAGAACTCTGCAGAGATTGCCACAATTCTTCGGAGTTAGCCGGCCCGCTGCCTGGCTCTGCTTGTCGACCTCTCTACCTTCGGGCAGGGAAAAAACCCAGATGAGACTCTGCCCTTCGGCATAGCCTCACCTTGGGAGGTAGACAAACCCGACCCCTTTATTACGGGGTCTACGGTGAATTTTTGGCCGAGTCTATAGACTCTGAACACCCCACATTAAAAAACAAAAAATAAGAAAAAACGGCTTTGTGCCACATCCCGCCTTGTGAGTAGGACTTGGGTAAATAACAAATTCTTCTGAGTCAGGCGGTCCGCTGCCTGGCTCTGATTGATAATACCTCTGTCTTCTAGCGACGGAGACACGACTGAGAAAAACAGAGAAGAATTATACCCGATCCGCTGAATGTGGGGAATGGGTAAATTTTGACCATTGGCCCGGGTGGAAACGCTCGGTTTCCCCGAAGATATCTAAAACTTGAACAATTGTACTACAGTAATCAGCGTTGTCACACGGGAGAACACGCTATGTACAATAGTGAGATTTTTATTAAAACTAGAATTGGATCATTGATAGCCTAATAATTGGTAATGTAGCCTTTTTTCACGCGTCCTCCATTCGCAAGCTGATGCGAAAAGGCAACATATCATCGATGGTCATTATTCGTTATGCGCCTTTTGAACAAATCTATAGTTTGAAGATAATCCAGATATTTTAATACGAAATTCAATTATTGCCGTTTTAGCGCCCCGTTTTTTTACGACTTGACAACCATTCCCACCAAGTAAAATCTTATTTCTAAGTCTAATGTCAAAATTGGTGACATTACTCAAACATCTATAAATTGCACAGGTAGATTGCACTGAAATCATCGATGCTTCATCGGAAATTAAAAGTCTTGACGAAGAATATATTTATTACTGTAAAAAATACAATAATGGTGGCACAAGGCCAAAGGGGAAGTGGGGAAAGGATGGTCTTCGCTCACTATCCTATTCCTAGTTAATCACGATCACGGCCCAATTGATCCAACGCAATTGACCCATTTACCACAAGAACTTATCCATCAACATTTAATCCTGCATATCCCACAATACCACATACTCACAGGGGACCGACAAAACACGCCATGATATAAAAATATCATGAAAGTTCATAATGTCTAATTCCAAAAATGGGGGAAAGAATGGACACAGAAAACTAACAAAAGATTGTAACGAAACAAACTAAAACAAAACAGATGATAGTAGAACCCGTCCACCCCTCACAATAATAAGAGTGACTGCTGTATTCTGCCGATAGACAGAATCAAGAAGCACATTCACTAATGAGGCGGGAAGGGTAAAAATAAATGACGGAATGGAAAAAATCAGTCTGACTCAGCCGGGATGAAAAAAAAAAGGGGAAAAGTCTTGATGAAGAATATATTAAGTAGAAATGTATTGTTAGGGAATGTATTGTAAGAACTCGTTTTAATTAGAGGTAGTGTTAATTTAAATAAAGAATGGATAGTTTTGTTCCTCTGAAATCAAAATAGCAGTAATTCCAGTCCAGGCTACATAAAAAAAAACCCCAAAACTGCATGATGCATTGGTGATAGTTGCATTTGTGGGCTGAAAGTGAGCGGAGAGGCAATAAATGGTTAATACGTTTTGCAGTTGCATTGTACTTATAAAAAGCTTAAATATTGCTGTCATATTTTGACTGCATGTGGAAAATAGTCCACATATAAAATGAATATGTGTGCATTGGTAGAAGAGATTTAACTACGCCTGGCTGCAATTTTAGGGGACGAGTGTGGGGGCAGAATTTAAGTGAATTAGTATAATAAAATAGCATGAAAAATTAGTTCCGCCATTCCCTCCCTCCCCTATCATTCCACTTGTGCTATTTTTACTTAAATTTACTTTATAGTTAGTAATACGTTGGACATTTACTTTGAGACTTACACTATCAGTCAATTACTGTTCGGGGATTTTTTTTAACACGTGATATCGGAAATGGGTAGGAAATACAACCCAGAAAATATATTTCCCTAAAGTCTTTTTTTTAATAAAAACATATTCAGTAAAACATTGATTCATTGACCTTTTGAGCCCTGACCACCGCTTAGTAGAAGAAAATGACGTAATACTCAGACACCAGTTGAACAGTGGTAGGGAAAACATGACTTAATGGCCAGCTACTGGTTGAACGGTATATAAACACTTGTAACTATTTTTATATCTACCGTGAAACATTACATATCAATTATTTGCGAATTTTGACTCAGGTGTTTAGACAAAAAGGTTCAAAGGGTTAATGAATAAGTACTGAAAATTCCGCCTAAATCGGATGATTTCCTGATTTTTGACAAATATTTTAAAAAGGAATATTTATATTTTGTTTTCATTTCGGGAAAAGACATCCATTTTCGTGGTACAGTGTCACCCGGATATAAGAGACCCGGATATAAGAGACTTCTCCGGTCCTGACAACTCTCTTATATCCGGGTTACACTGTACCTAGCCGGTTGACTAAAATGTTCTTTAGGCTTGAGTGACAACCAGTCTAGGAGAAGGAATATTAATGAAAATTCAAAACCGTGGAGATAAAAACTGGTCGACTAGAAGCCATGACTATTCACAAATTATAAAGAAAAGGAAAATTATGGAGAGCCATTATGATATAAATTCTAAAAGGATATAGTCGTAAAAAAATATGGGAAAGTAAAAACGAAATATTTCGAATGCAGATTTTCAAGGTTTGCAGGGCGTATGTATTTGGAAGATTGACAAACCATAATCTTGATACCCACATTGTTCTAAACAGATATCAATAACTACGCAATATTGAGATAGGACAAACACGGAAGTGGTTTTGAACAAGTCAAAACTTCCAATCAACCAATTTTACATATAAAAAGTACTTTACACCAGCGCCTTCCTTACCTTCCAGCCTTGATATTGTTGAAAATTGGTAGCGCTGGCTTTTGGAGAAATACTTTGCAGTATATTTTCCCAGCGACGTGGCATTGCAAGCCTTTAGCTACTCCATTGTAATGGAAAATGTTCAGATGAGCTCCAGTCTTTAGTACCACTAGTTCAGACCTTTACAGCTGACTTGCCAAATTACGTCTCCGAAGTCGAATTCCAGATGTCAGGAGAAATTTCACGGCATATTGAATCCTTAAACATAATACATCAAAGAAAGCGTTGTTTTTCTTGCATT